TCCAAGCTAATGTAATGTATGTAATGCTATACTAAATTTATTGGTTACTTACAGAAAGCACGTAAAATTATACAATTTAAGTTTAATTTCACAGTTGACAAAATGTTTTTGGTTAAGTATAATAAAGAAAAATATTAACTGGCACCACAATATTTTATTTAAGCAATTTATTTATTTAAATCTTTGGTGTATTCTTAAGAAATAATACCCCAAGCAAAAAGATGTTTGATAAATAGATATGAGAAAAGTTTCAGACACCCATTGTATGTCTCAGTTCTTTCACTCGTAATTAATGGTCTGGGTATTGCTTCCCAATGTTTTGACAGAAAGTATCTGTACTTTTTAAAAGTGATCATGAGGTACTCGTTAAGTTAACAACATTTGAGATACATCGAGAGGATCCATGTGCGAGCTGCAAGTCTACGAAAAACATACACGCTTAGGGTGAATAGTTGCCAATCAGTTGATTACGTTGTAGGCTAGGTTAGGCCGTAGGTTAAGGTAGTTAATATCATTCCCAGCCACTTCTCTCGCTCCATCTCAGTCTGGCAAAAGCCGGGCAATAGAGGGGAAAGTTACCAATTCCCACAACAGCCGGTTCTGCGGTACCGGAATTGACCCGGATTTATCCGGCCAAGGGCTGTTATTTCGGCGATCTAACCCTGTTTGGATCGGTGAGTTTTAGATTAAGTTTGTCGTCATTGGAGCAACGCCTAGCAGCAGGGTTGCTCCCTATCCTCCTGACCCGTGCTGGCATCGAGTCCAACCCGGGCCCCGAGGAATTTTACTGCTGCGTTTGCGCTAAAAGGCTCCATCCAAACTCCACCTCGGTTAGGTGCAATACATGCAATGGATGGAGCCATCTTAAGACCTGTTCAGGCCTTAAGACACATAGGGAGTGGGCCACAAGTTACGTGGCCCCATGCTGTCAACGCAATAATGCGACATCTGCCTCAACGGCTGTGCAACCTGCACCATGCTCGCGCACTGCGCTGCCACTCCAGTCGAGTGGCCAAGATAGGACCTCCACGGCCCTAAGGAGCTCACACAGACAGCATGACTCCCAGTCTGACCAACCTCCCTCCCCCAACCTTCATCCAGCTCCAATCCTCGTGCGAGAACCACCCAGCAACTCCTGGTTCCTCGCACAGTCTGTTCTGTGTGTCAGACCACAATACGCCGGAATGTCACATCAGTCAAGTGCAATTCTTGCACTGGCTGGTGTCACTTTCTGCCGTGTTCTGGTGTGCGCACCACACGAGAGTGGAGTGCGTCGTACGTTGCCCCATGCTGTAGAAGTCTGCCCCCGCAATCACATACAGTGGCGTCGCCAATCAACACCACAGCGCGACAACCGCCCATGCGGATAGTACAGCTGCAACAGCCACCACCTACACGCACCCCACTCACCCCTAGGATCACGACTGGACACCCGCGACAAACGCGACTCTTACAATTCAACTGCAACGGACTCCAGAGTAAGATCGAGGAGATAGTTGCATTCATTAGCCGGGAGCGCGTAAAGACAGCTGCGGTCCAAGAAACCAAGTTAAACAGCCGCTCAGATCTTCTGAGTTGTGCAGGTTTCAACGTTTTACGTAAGGATCGCGAGCGAGATAATGGTGGAGGCCTAGCCTTCATATTGCACAACACCGTGCAGTATCGTCTTATCGATGTTGACATCGACCGTAGGGACACTACCCTAGAATGTCAGGATATAGCTGTCCGGTCAGGCGATGTCGAGCTCGAAATATTTAATATATACATCCCCCCAGTTACATGTTGCCCAACAGGATATCACCCGAACATAGATGCGCTACTTCGTGGTGAAAACCGTTTGGTGCTAGGCGACTTTAACGCGCATCACGATCTTTGGCATTCCTGTCTGTTAAACGATCGTAGAGGGATGGAGCCGGCGGAACAGATAGACGATTCGACATTCTGCACAATGAATGACGAAGCCCCCACCAGAATTATGGGCACCTGTAATAGCTCGCCAGATATTACCATCGCTAGCGGTGGTCTGATAAATAGCATAACCTGGCGACCTATGCTAACTCTCGCATCAGATCATCTGCCCATAATTATCTCGATCGAGAAACCTCCTGACTTTATTTCTGTGGACAACCGCACTTATGTTAACTTTAACAAAGCTAACTGGGTCGGCTTCACAGAATTTACTGAGAGCACCTTCAACGCACTATCCATTCCTACGGACGTCATCGTTGGCGGGCGTCAATTCCGCAAGGTGATCGCTGCTACTGCTCGCTTCATACCGGCTGGAAGAATCGCGGAACTCCGCCCTAATTTCCCAGCCGAAGCAGCTGTATTAGCAAACGAGCGCGACACCTTACGCCATGCCGATCCCAGTGATCCCCGAATAGGGGATCTCAATTTGGAGATTCGGCAAATGGTAAATCATCATAAGCGGACTAAATGGATAGAGCACCAGAAGTCCTGGAACCTCTCCACCGGTGTGAGTAAACTTTAGATTACTGTCAAGGCCCTGTCAAATCCGAGAAGACATGACGATCGGGTTGAAATTCAATTCGATGGTCATGCCTCCTTGGACCCGAAGAAGTGCCCGAGCTATTTCAGCCGACAATTTACACTGCACCCTTCGACTGACAAGGCCAAACGACGTGTTACCCGACGGCTGCGCAAAATGCCAAAAGCCTGCGCACCACTTGCTTTCACCGATGGGGAGCATCAGAGTGTCATCAAAAAGGCGAAACCATCTAAATCCATTGGCCCTGACGGAATAAGCATGCTGATGCTAAAACACCTAGGCCCAACAGGAGTAAATTATCTCACCAAGGTCCTCAACCTGTCGATATCCACTCTTCAAATACCCGATGTGTGGAAAGTCGGAAGAGTGGTCCCACTACTGAAACCTGGGAAACCCGCCAACAAAGGGGAGTATTATCGCCCGATAACTCTCCTTTCCCCAGTAGTGAAGACACTTGAGGCCTTGTTACTCCCGTCATTCACTCACCACCTGAGCCTAGCAGATCATCAGCATGGCTTCCGTAAAGTGCACAGTACCACCTGAACATGGCCTGAACCAGAAGCCACCCTGCGAGAGGACGATCCTCGTAGCGTTGGACTTGTCAAAAGCTTTTAACACAGTCAATCACACAACACTACTTGAGGAACTAGAACAATCAACGCTCCCTCCAGGGCTGAAGCGGTGGACTATGAACTACCTGAGCGGTCGGCATTCATCCGTACTGTTTCGAGGTCAAAACCCCAAACTTAGGAAAATTAAACAGGGGGTTCCGCAGGGCGGTGTCCTCTCCCCACTACTGTTTAATTTTTATATTTCGAAACTCCCCCAGCCACCAGCGGGAATTTCAGTGACCTCGTACGCCGATGACTGTACGATATTGACATCGGGAAATGGAATCGATGGCATGTGTTCAAAAGTAAACAGCTACCTATCCGATCTTTCTCGCTTCTTCTCTGCAAGGAGCCTAACACTCTCTCCCACTAAATCCACAGCGACCATCTTCACAAATTGGACGAAGGAGTACAGACTGGACCTGAATATTTCAGTCAATGGCACAAAAATTCCGGCAGTAAATAATGCTAAAATTTTAGGCGTTACTTTGGACAGTCTGTGCTCTTTCACTCCTCACACGACCGAGATAACTGCCAAAGTACAGAGGCGCAACAAAATCCTCAAGTCGCTTGCCGGCAGCTCTTGGGGAAAAGACAAAGAAACGTTGTTGGCAACATACAAGGCAATCGGCCGGCCGGTCCTAAATTACGCAGCCCCAATATGGTCGCCTGGATGCAGTGACACGCAGAAGAAGAAGCTACAGACCTGTCAGAACACTCCACTCCGAACTATCATGGGATGCCTCTTGAAGTCTCCAATCGAACACCTACATAGTGAGGCCCGTATGTTTCCGGTTAAGGAACACAACGAACTCCTCTCCAAGCAGTTTCTACTGGGGTGTTTTCGTAGAAACCACCCCTGTAGTCGCCTGACTGTAGCGGAGCCGTCTCCTAGGAACATCAAGAGGTCTTTCCTTGACTACGTCGACGACATTAGACAGTACGCCGACCGGACTTCGGACGCAACGAACTTCAGACAGGCACTGACCGCCATTCACAGTGGAGCCATCAACACCTTCACAGACTCCCTCTCAGTGAATGGCGTAATAGGAGTCAAACCACCACCCATAGCAGACATAAAGCTCGAGTTGCCTCGCGAAACCAGAGTGACCCTCGCGCAACTTCGGTCCGGATACTGTAGCAGGTTAAACTCCTACTTATCCAGAATTGACCCCGACATAATAAACACATGTCCTGCGTGCAATGAGTCTCCGCATGACACTAACCACCTCTTTGCATGCCCAACAAACCCCACCCATCTAACACCCTTCTCCCTATGGTCCGACCCCGTCGAAACAGCTCGTTTCCTGGGCCTCCCGTTAGATGACCTCGACGAAAACGAATCTGGAATTTACTACTCAAACGGGGACTAGGTAACCGTTACAACAACAGGGGAAAGTTACAAGATAATTCCACCTTGCCTTCCTCCATACAGAGAGCGTTTTACAAAATATTTAGCCGTACCACGTGTGAACCTTTTGGACAGTGTCGGAACCTTACAATTGCGGCGAGATTGACTTTGCTAAAATCAAATAGTTCGTACGATCTCGCACAAGTTTCTGTTCTTTGGAGGTGCATAAGACCAGCGCTAGACTCAAGAGCATATCAGGACATCGGAAAACAGCCAGCGTTCCCGACCTACTTTCACCCACATCCGTTTAGTTTCTTTCATTACTATTCATGTCTATTGGGTCTTTACTCAGAGCCGCAATCCATTTACTGGAATGTAAGTGTTGTAAATAATAAGCAAAATGGCCTTTTCTTTAATTTTGCTGGCAAGTGTCTTTAGAATTTGGTTGTGTCTCTGAAGTTTCATTACCGTAGTTACCGCGTTGAAGTTGAAAAATATTCGATATAATGAAAATCATTTAATCACTCGCATTCATTTGGAATTGGAGATATAATGACAATAATGAAAATTCTGGAAGTTTTTCTTATTTCACAATTTTCCAAATTCATTTACCAAAATTATCCCACTGTACAACTGCTGCAAAGCTATAACAAAAATGTCAAAAACAGCTGAGCGTGTGTCAAAAGCTCCAACCTTCCAGATCAGATCCAATAAAAAGTTTGCCATTATTGGACGCGAGAAAGATAACATTGAGAATATCATTATGTGAAACAAATAGTCAATTATCGATGCGCCCCTTTTGGAGCGAATAATAAAATAAAATGTAAGCGTTGATACTAACAAATCAGACGAAGCTCTCAAACACGTACGTATATGAAGCGAGTTGGATGTGGTAAGGAAAAGCTAGAAGGAACACATCAATCCAGAATTGCGAAAAAAGCACAGAACGGACCGAGAAATCAGTTAGTCAAAACTCAGCAGAGCAGTGCAACAGTACGGTGCACATCTTAATAAGAATAGCAACACAAGAAGCGAAATACTAAAAACAATCTGAAAATAAATTACTACACAATTTTAAACGTGACTATTTTTTTACAATTGTGCAAACATATCTGCTTGATAAACCGATTTTTAATATAAATTTAATGGTGAATAAGAATCATAAGTGAAGTTTTGACGTACACACCCTCCATTTCTGTAGGCGTGCTTTGGAATAGAAAGGACATTGGCTTATCGAAGGTGGAGAGGCAGAAACGCAACGTCATCAGCGTTTCGACACCGAATACGATATTTTCGGCTGCATTGTGTTTATAACCGCCTGACTACATGCTCTTCTTTATATATAAATATATATTATAACTTAACTCAAAGATTTGCTTCGACAAAGTGCCAAAAAGGAGTTCAATATCGAGCTTACCAGCTACTGATTATTATACAAATTACAAAAGGAAGTATTGCCGACATTGAATAAAACGAAAATTGTAGAATATACTAGACTAAATAGAAGAAAGCGTGGTAAGGAAACCAAATTAAAAAACGAAAAGTGGAGACTTACGAATATAAGTAGTCATTCACCAGTGAATTAGTTGTGCTGCAAAGGACACGTAGGCACAACTGAAGGTAGAACAAGCAATGACACCTACCCAACTTCATCATTAGTATAGCGCAAAATGCAGAGGTGAAAAGGACATATACCACAAATTATAATATATCACCGATCACAAGAGACTGCACACAGCGGTTGAGGGACTAAGAAACCGGTTATATTAAATAATAATATTAAATTTTAGTGCTTCAAATTATTTATTGAAAATTTTATTTATGTCAGCAAAGTGTTCAGAGAATCATCCCACATATGATCACAGTTTTAATTAAAAACAATAAAATTCGAGTGTTCCTTGTGACAATTTTTAGCTATAGAAAAAATTGTTGATTTAAAAATACAAAAATACAAGTGATAACAAATAACTGACGTGACTAAACCTTTTGTATTCAACAACATTCAGAAGACTATAAAAGAGCACTAGAAGGAAAATATGTATTTATTATAGTTTGAAACCAAAGTTAACAGTGTCACCAAAAATCGAGCACAAATTCACTCATACAGCTGAAAGAGGAGCTACGAAAACTACAATTCCTTGAAACATTCACTTCAGAGCAGACAGAATAACCAAAAATCAAGATGCGGTTATTTCCGGTGCGTTTATCGAACATTACAAAAATGCTCGATATGTACTCGCAGTTCAATCCATCACCTTTGTCTATAAAACAATTTATGGACTTCGGTAAGTTCTACTTTTATATAAAGTCTTATAACAAATTTGGCAAACAAAAAATTCACGAAATTGTACTATATTTTTGTTAGTTAACATAATGTAGTGTTTTTCGTTTTGATATTGAAATAGGGGCTTACTCAACAATTTTGCATTTAACATATAATATAATATGATTTTTAATGCTTAAAAGCAATGTATAATAAATCAGATGTTACTTTGGAATCTCCTTTACCATCCTAGAGCAATAAATATTATACTTATTACTATAATGGCATTTATATTTTGATATTCTTTTCCGTTTAAATGCATTGTTTTGGCAAAATTTTGCAGATTACTCTTGTTGAAATTCAACATTATCGCTAAGTAAAAAACGGAAAAAATTAATCATGTACATATGTATGGATATAGCTATTTACTAGTTGAATATAGCTATTTACTGTTACTTATTTATAAACACTTCAAACAATTATCGTAAACTTTCGAAAAGATTTGGAATTTTATGTGCCATACTCTTCAGATAAAATTGAGCTTTTTAGATTTTCTCTTCTCCTTGTATTTGATATATGCAAATAATTTGTTCTAAATATATAAAATAAAATAAAAAAATATATGTATGTACATATGTATTCTTATTTAATTTTGTTTTTTTGTGAGAGTGCGCACAAATATTCATAAGTCTACTTAAATAAGGTAGCTAACCTGTTTTGGCCTACTCCTATCTTCTTCTAATTACTACAACAAAATACATTTGATTATTTATCCACATTTTTTTGCATTTTGCAAGTTTTTGTTTTGGTTGATGGTTCGAAATCTCATTGTACTTTCATACATATATATGTATATTATTATTATTTGGATTTTTAGGTATGTTTGTGTCTTCATATACGCCGTCGTTGTGTTTATTACGTCGCACAGATTCTCAAGTTTATTGACCATCTTTTATATCAACCACTAAGTGGGTTAAGTGAAGAAATGAATGCTCTTTAGATGAAATTAAGCGGGCAGATCTCTAAATAATTTAATAATATCTCCAAAAAGTTTGTGTCAAACCATAATGATATCTCAAAAAAAAAAAAATCACCTTTATTGACATTATCTTTGAAATTTAATTCTGATTATCACATCACATGAAGGTTCGAGAAACGATGATGTTCGGCGAAATGCAAAACAAAATTGAAATTATTTATTTATTTAAGTAAATATATAAGAACGCATTGTTATTAGTAATGAATTAATATGACTTCTATATACACATATACATCGTTATTTGCACGAATGTATGTATGTATATATTATATTACTCAATATACGTACATATGTGTATAGTTTATTAAGAATTTTGTTTTCATTTAAAATATGTATGTTTGTATGTATATGTTATTTGTCATCGCATCAAATTATAATTTCACCGCCCGTTTAATTGCGTAATGATTTGCATTTCCAACTACATATAGTATGTTTCATCTTATCAGTAAATATGACATAATTCTAAGAGATGGTACTCATGTGTTAAAAACCTTAAATAAGTTCGAAAAGGAGTTAAAAAAAAGAAAATAGTAAATAAATAGAATAACAAGTAAGTTCGGGTGTAACTGATCGTTTTATGCTTTCGCAAGGATTTGAACTTTATAATCAAAAATGTTGCGTAAGAATTCAACATTCTTTATTCGCAGAAACCGAATGAGTTAAATCAAAATTGGTCTCTTGTTCACTTAAGTAAGTATATTATTAGTCGTAAACTCATTAATTCGTATCCGAAATATATGCCATATATTAAAATCAATCTAATATATGATCTAAACTCAACCAAAGGACTATATTTAATACATTAGGTATATGAGAAAAAAGTCAACTAAATAATCGAAAGCCATTATACGTATTATCGATACATATGAGGTTAAGGCCAAGGTCTAAACAAATTGTATTTATATTAAAACAACACCACATTTTTTTAAGAAATCTACTTAATTATTTCAAAACATCACGCACACATTTTTGGAATATAGATATAATATATCCAATATGATACGTTCACTTAATTTTGTTAAGACATAGTAGTTTAAAATTTCTATAATAGGTATACGGGGGTTAGGGTTGTTATTGGCCAAATTTGATTAATTTTAAGCACAAGAAAACAGAGTTCTTAGAGCTAAACGCTTCCTTTATTTCTTTAAGATATCTCACATTTTGACAGGTATATACAGTATAAAGTCAAGAGGAAGTTTGAAAATCTGTATATTAGGTATATGGGGGAAAGGGGAACTATTGAACCGTGTTATCCATTTTTTGGTATCACGACATATTATTTCGAGAAAAATATGCTTTCATTAAGGTACCTCGATATTTTTTACAAAAAGCCGGCCGTTGGCACTGAGATCCACGTATTCGTTATCTGGCAACTTGAAAAGTTATGGTCCGATATCATATGGAATTTAAAGTTGTGAAATATGGGAAATAGGCGTGATTGTATCCTGATTTCCCCTATTTTCAAAACGTAATATAAGAAAGTATAATTAAAGTTACGCACAAAATTTGATTGAATTTTTCCAAGTAGGTAGTTTACCCAAAATTAAGTGGTGCAACGCCAATTGTCCAATTTCCACACCGGCTCCTATGAAGCCTTTTAGCCATTTACTTACGACGTATTGATGATTTTTTATCAGCAAGTTTGGCTGAAATAGCTTAAAGGTTTACCAAGTTTTATCAAGATATTTTAATTTTACTCAAGTTATCGGTTATAAAATTCTATATTTATCTCCATTACTTTTAGGTGTTATAAACAACCGTTAAATGGATAAACTATTATACTCTGTAGCAAACATAATGCAATATTCTCCTTTGAATACTTACATAAGTGATTGATAATGGCATCACAGACAGTTAGGCACATCCTTATCTATGCTTGAGGTAAAATCGATTTGAATGGGGTGTTTTATTAAGGATTATGGATAAAAGTGGACAATGTTTGTTTGTTTACGTCAAGTAGTCTTTTATTCAGTGTCATTACTTACCTGAGTACTTGCTAGACACTTAAGTAATTGAATCTTGTATGCAATTGGCTTTTGTTTTGTTTTCATTTATGTCCATACATATATGTAAAATACAAATAATTAAGCCATACTTTCCAATCGTCTGTCTTTGAAAGCGACATGGATATGGAGCATGAGTGAAATCGGTTCATGCATTACTCGTCCCCAATATACAAATATGAGTTTTGTCTTCCAAATTGATTGAGATGAAATTAGCTTTCTATATAAAAATGATTTCGTATAATTTTGCGGTTACTTGTATTATAAATATTTTAAACAACTAATTGTTTAATGGCTTTACTAAGATTTGATGATGGTATTACTGAAGAAGATTACTTCTTCTATCCAGAAAAGAAATGTATTAATTGCAAAGTAGTAAATCCACGCCCTCAAAAATCAAAAATAATTATACACAACATTTTGATTCTACTTGCCATATGATCGGATTTTCGCAAAAGAAGTTATTATATTATACTCCTTTTATTTAAACCTCTGTGCCCAAAAAACGCTGATTCCATCAGGTGATCTCAGCTGTGTAAAATTCTTGGAAACCATATGATTCTTTGGTTACTTGTATGCCTGTACAATGATCTGCACTCTTTATCGATAGATATGACCCAGCACAAAGAAACGTTGCTGGCAAGGCAGTCACTATACACAATTGGTATAGTCGCCGGAGACTTGAAGAATGCAAATTACGAAGTTCCAAATCACTGTACTGTTAACATTGACATTATATGTACATACATACGTGTTGATACCTACGGAATAGTACTGAACAGAGATAAAGAGATGCCCAACTCATCTCTCACTGGAAATGAGAACGTAATTGCTAAACGTCAAAACCTCCTGAACTCAGGCAACTGTCAAAGTTCAGGAGGTCTGACGTTTAACAATTGGAAAAAGAGGGACGGTCAAATTGAAATCCTACAGAAAAATATGTGAACAGAGAGATTTGTTGCCGCTGTTGAAGATCACTAACAAAAATTGGAAAACAATTAAAAAGAAAGAAAACGCAAAATTGAAACGTATGTGATTAAATCCTTTGTGATGCCATGTTTCGTAGTATTAATTTTCAATTGAAAATGATAAAAAAACATTCACTAATTGAGAGTTAAAACATTTTTTCACTCTTTAATTATTGAAAGTGCAAAAATCAGTTGTTTTAATATATCACAATATCACATAAATGGATTTATATAATTTTTCCATATGCATACGCATAAATGTGAAATAATATTTAATCTTAATAAATGTTCGGTATTATAATTTAAATGCCCAAAAATTATTATTTTGTCCGATCTGGCTACAGTGCAAAATGATATAAAAAACGCTATTTTTGAGGCGCTCTCATACTGGAAAGAGTTGGGCATCCCATTATCCCTGGTACTGAAGGTCATCCTCTGAATGCAACACTATTAGCTTCGGCTATATACATATGCGTATAAGTATATACATAAATATATAAAGTTAGATCGTGAAAGAAACATCTAGAATTTTCTATACTCTTTTTTTTATTTTGAACATCAGTTCTTGTCATTACGTTTTCATTTCCAGTGCATTTTTATGCATATGTATATGTATTTGTATGCCGTCGTGCATAAATGCCGCTACGAATTCATTTGCGGCTGTGCTTAATGCCGGAAGTATTCAATATCAATACATTGAGAATTTCCGTTAATATTTCGCTGAAATTTAATAGTTAATTACACGTTAGTAAAAATAGGAGAAGCCCATGCACAACGTTAATTTGTTCAAATAAAAAAATTGTATGCCTACAAATGTAGTTTGAAACCGAAATTAAAGCGAATACGCCTACACACTCACATACATACAATTTGTATGTAAGTATGTCATATACTCGTATATGTTTAAGGTTATCTCAAGGACGACGGCGAACAGTTTATTTCCTTACAAATATTCCTTAAAGCTGAAGCTTTTGCACATTTTACCAACAAACACCAAAAACATACCGGCTTA